CGAACAGTATGAAACGTCGCACTATAACAATTATTTATTTAAGGCGGAATGGAGGAAGTTAAAAGACGGAGTAAAAAATAAGCTCGCAAGTAGTTCTGGGAAATATGCGAAAGAGCAGTGGCCAATTTCGTGTACGAAACACTCAGAAATAATCAGTTTATGTAGGGACTGTTTCAAAACTTAAATAAATACCTCAAGTCAAAAGTAAGGATAAATATTTGAACAACAACAGCGTGTATGGCGGTAGAAAACCCCTCCTACCACAACGATGCGGAGAGTGCTTTGAACTTATATTATGCGGTTGAGCAATTTGCTGCTGTGAAGAAATAATCTGCTCTTACCGTGTTACTGTAGGAGTCTGTAGGAGCCCACATGATCATCCCATGCCGAAAATGAGATGCTTCCGCTAGTGGTAGCCATCGGAAGATCAAGAGGATAAAAAGATTACGTGATATCCTGCAAGCCATCCTTCTGTCGAAGTGTAGTTGTTCTGAAGACTTCCGGGAAGGTGGTAACACTTTTATATGATTGACACGTCAATCAAATCACTGTTTTCCTGTTTAAGAGCCATCCCACCTGCAATCCACCTTTTCTAGAACAAAGTCTTGATTGACATCTCAACAGTACAATCCAGGTAATAGGCTTTTGACTTACTTCCTTTTAGATGAGAATCCCGGAAGTAAGATCGCGGGGCTTACCAGAATCCAATCGCATTTTTTTAAAATCTGATTTTCTTATCATCCCCTTATCTATGCACTGCTGTATAATAACACTAATTTCGTTATTTTCTTAGTAAAACACGGTAAACTATGTATTGAAAGTTGATTAACAAATGCTCACATGCAAAGGACAAGATGCAAATCACTAAAATCTTAGCTTGAAATTCAATCAAATTACCCACCCATCGATCATCCATTTATAGCTCTATTGTCAGTACAATAGTAGTGACAGTGTTCATGAACGTATAAGTAGTAAAATTCCGCTAATGAGTCTTGTGATCCCTGAAGCGCACTATGCATGCATGTCTAGCTTCCGAGAAGGTGATGCTTCCGCTAGCGGTAGTTATTGCAAGGTCAAGGGGATAAATAGATTACAGGATATTTTGCGAGCTATTCTTCTGTCGAAGTGTACTTGTTTTGAAGTATTCCAGACCAATTACACGTTCTAAGTGAATCAAACGTGTCCTCCCATTTATGGGCCAATCTGTAATCCACTTTTGTTGATACAAGGTCTTGAGTGACATCTCAACAATAAAATCCCGAATATTTGCAGAAGATTCCAGCTACACCGGTAGTAAGATCGCGGGGTTTACCAGAATCCAATCATTTTTTTTTTTTTAATCTGAGTTTCTTACCATCCCCTAGCCTTATGTATGCACTGCTATTTAACATTAATTTCATTATTTTCTTAGTAAAACACGGTAAACTACGTATCAAAAGTTGATTAACAAATGCTCACATGCAAAGCACAAGATGCAAATCATTACGATCTTATCTTGAAAGTCAATCAAATTTACTCACCCATGGATCATCCATTAATAGCTCTATTGTCAGTACAATGGTAGTGACATTGGTCATAAACGTATCAGCAGTAAAATTCCGCTAATGAGTCCTGTGAGCACTGAGGCGCATGCATGTCTAACCTCCGAGATGCTTCCGTTAACGGTAGCTATTGCAAGGTCAAGGGGATGAAAGGATTACGGGATATTTTGCGAGCCATTCTTCTGTCGAAGTGTACTTGTTTTGAAGTATTCCAGAACAACTACACGTTCTAAGTGAATCAAACGTGTCTTCCCATTTATGGGCCAATCTGCAATCCACTTTTATTGCTGCAAGGTCTTGAGTTACATTTCAACAATAAAATTCCGAATATTTGCATTTGGCGGAAGATTCCAGCTACACTGGTAGTAAGATCGTGGGGCCTCCCAGAATCCAATCATATATATATATATATTTCTTTAATCTGAGTTTGTAACCATCCCTTTATCTATGCACTGTTATCTAATGACATTAATTTCGTTATTTTCTTAGTAAAACACGGTAAACTATGTATTGAAAGTTGATTAACAAATGCTCACATGCAAAGCACAAGATGTAAATCACTAAGATCTTATCTTAAAAGTCAATCAAATTTACTCGCCCATGGATCATCCATTAATAGCTCTATTGTCAGTACAATGGTAGTGACAGTTCTCGCAAGTAGTTCTGGGAAATATGCGAAAGAGCAGTGGCCAATTTCGTGTACGAAACACTCAGAAATAATCAGTTTATGTAGGGACTGTTTCAAAACTTAAATAAATACCTCAAGTCAAAAGTAAGGATAAATATTTGAACAACAACAGCGTGTATGGCGGTAGAAAACCCCTCCTACCACAACGATGCGGAGAGTGCTTTGAACTTATATTATGCGGTTGAGCAATTTGCTGCTGTGAAGAAATAATCTGCTCTTACCGTGTTACTGTAGGAGTCTGTAGGAGCCCACATGATCATCCCATGCCGAAAATGAGATGCTTCCGCTAGTGGTAGCCATCGGAAGATCAAGAGGATAAAAAGATTACGTGATATCCTGCAAGCCATCCTTCTGTCGAAGTGTAGTTGTTCTGAAGACTTCCGGGAAGGTGGTAACACTTTTATATGATTGACACGTCAATCAAATCACTGTTTTCCTGTTTAAGAGCCATCCCACCTGCAATCCACCTTTTCTAGAACAAAGTCTTGATTGACATCTCAACAGTACAATCCAGGTAATAGGCTTTTGACTTACTTCCTTTTAGATGAGAATCCCGGAAGTAAGATCGCGGGGCTTACCAGAATCCAATCGCATTTTTTTAAAATCTGATTTTCTTATCATCCCCTTATCTATGCACTGCTGTATAATAACACTAATTTCGTTATTTTCTTAGTAAAACACGGTAAACTATGTATTGAAAGTTGATTAACAAATGCTCACATGCAAAGGACAAGATGCAAATCACTAAAATCTTAGCTTGAAATTCAATCAAATTACCCACCCATCGATCATCCATTTATAGCTCTATTGTCAGTACAATAGTAGTGACAGTGTTCATGAACGTATAAGTAGTAAAATTCCGCTAATGAGTCTTGTGATCCCTGAAGCGCACTATGCATGCATGTCTAGCTTCCGAGAAGGTGATGCTTCCGCTAGCGGTAGTTATTGCAAGGTCAAGGGGATAAATAGATTACAGGATATTTTGCGAGCTATTCTTCTGTCGAAGTGTACTTGTTTTGAAGTATTCCAGACCAATTACACGTTCTAAGTGAATCAAACGTGTCCTCCCATTTATGGGCCAATCTGTAATCCACTTTTGTTGATACAAGGTCTTGAGTGACATCTCAACAATAAAATCCCGAATATTTGCAGAAGATTCCAGCTACACCGGTAGTAAGATCGCGGGGTTTACCAGAATCCAATCATTTTTTTTTTTTTAATCTGAGTTTCTTACCATCCCCTAGCCTTATGTATGCACTGCTATTTAACATTAATTTCATTATTTTCTTAGTAAAACACGGTAAACTACGTATCAAAAGTTGATTAACAAATGCTCACATGCAAAGCACAAGATGCAAATCATTACGATCTTATCTTGAAAGTCAATCAAATTTACTCACCCATGGATCATCCATTAATAGCTCTATTGTCAGTACAATGGTAGTGACATTGGTCATAAACGTATCAGCAGTAAAATTCCGCTAATGAGTCCTGTGAGCACTGAGGCGCATGCATGTCTAACCTCCGAGATGCTTCCGTTA